ATTCCATAAAACAATTTTATTCAAACAAACTTGAATCTTTGATGCCAGTATCTTCATTAGCACTACGGCAACTTTTGACTTATTTACTGTGGTTCTCCATAGCACATCATTACTTCCAAATATGTTAAGACTGAAAACTTAAAATTCATATTGATGTAGTCACTATGAGTCGGAATCGACTCGACGGCAATGGGTTTGGGTTTCTTTTTGGTAGTCCTAGAAAATTTATCCAAAGCCATTGATACAACCTCAAGATAATTTTCCATTTATTCTGTAGGTATATATCTCTGATCTCTGTGATATAATTACCTCCTGTATTGCTTTTTAAACTTGCTTATAATGTCATCCAACTATTGTAATTATGAGGTTATATCCCCAGGAATAATTACTAAAACTGTTCTAATTTTTTTACCCTCCCTTTTTATTGATTTAATCAGTTGACCTCTATAAGCATCCAAACCTAGGGCATTTCAGGCTAATGTGTCTTCCTTAAATAATATGGTCATATAAAGTATGTCCCTTCATGATCCCCACATTATAGTTCAGAATAAATTCCACAACATTTCAAGTTTGGGTTAAGGAAAGCTTAATTAGAGGAAACTTACAAAGCAAATGTTTTAAAAATGAACATACTAGAGGCTGTGAAATGGAAGCTAAGTATAAGCTTCTAACACCATTTTTTAATGTGGTGTTCTAATTTTCATTTTTTTCTAATTAATCTGTTATTATAATTTTATTTTTTTGTTTGAACCAAGAGAAGGTGCAACATACCATTTTTACAGGTTCTTAGTGAAGACTGTTTGAAGCAGATCACAGACCAGATTCTGTTCTAATGGTGTGGTCAACAGGAGTTTTATTACTCACAGAATAAACAGGACAGGGATGAGTAGAACAGCAAACATCCTCATCAGCCAGGTTTCCCCGAGGTTAGGCTTCTGTCCCAGGGTGTAATGTTACTTCGCATTCATGCACACCCCACATCGTGCCATGGGAGAAGAACATGGAAGCCTCTCTTTCCCGGGGTTACAATACTAGCAAGCAGCCATGTCTACATGCCATACAGCAGTGTACAGAGAGCAAGTAGGGGAAAGCGGAAATAAAAGGTAAAAGTGGTAATAAAAATGGAAGGCCCCCTGTGGGCAATGGACATTACTCATTGCGCCTGTTCAAGGTGGGTGACAATCTCATGATGGCTATTCTAGATTTACTGGCATTAGGGAACAGCCCTTCCTCCTTCACCCCACTAACAGAACAGAGTTCTGAGTTTCTTCAGAGGGCAATCATCTCCTGAGGTGCATACTTTAGTTTATGTCCATTATGGAGACAATGTGGGGGGAGGGGAGGGGCGGTTAATAGTATAGCATATCCCTGCACCCATCAGTAGGTTTTTTTTCAAATATTGATTTCTTGAACTTTTGTTATTCTTAAGTTAACTACATTCTGGTCAGTTTATTATTTATTCTTTCCATTTATTCATGATGAATCCTTCTCCACCTTGGGAAATATGTACAGAATTTTGATCATACTCTCTAAAATGCTAGCCATCTCTTCAGGAGTGATTTAATTTGTAACTCTACTTGAGACACTTTGCATTAGTTAACTTGGGATTTGTGGGTACTTTAAAATTGAATAATATGTGGATACCCTTCCTAATAAGTAGAAATTATTAAGTAGATGTAGAGTATAAATCCATTTCATGGGAAAGCTTCCTGGCAGATTCACAAAAAAAAAAAAAATTAAGAATTTTTAGAATTGGCTGTGGGAGATTAATATCAAGAAAAAAATGTTAGTTGCCATCATTTTCATAGCATGAAATTGGCCATGGTGGGAGTATTTACACCACAGAAATTGGCAAAAGCTATAAATCAGGCCTCCCCCAACCCACTCTCAGAGACCTGGTTGTTAGACATTTACCAGCACACTACTGGTGCCAGCCCAGGCTCTCCCATGGCTCCATAGGGAGGGACTAGGGTCCTATCATCATTAACATTTCTTGTGTTTTATCTGATTATTCATGTGTATAATCATATCCCTCAATTAGAGTTCAAGATCTATTTTCCAGACATGATTTTTAACACATAACCCCTCACTGAAAAGAAATATGTTCTTAGGGAATATGATCTCCCACAGATTAGAGGGTATATGAGAATAAGAATAGCCAAAGCCATGTGAAAGAAAGCTGCAGTCAGGAATAGGGAGGGCAAACTTCAAAAGAAGGAGAGAATGGAAGGAAGGGAAGGAGGGAAGTGGGGAGAGAGAGAGAGGGAAGGAAGGGAAACTGACAGAATGGCATGCTCTCTCACCACACAGAAGCAGGCTTCTTCCTACAGTAAGTACATAAAGACCAGGCAATATGTCTTTGTTTTAGGCTCAAAATCTCCCAGGGTGAGCATCAAACTTACATCTTAATTAATGAGGGCTTATTGAAAACCTTCAGGAACCAGGAAACCCTGTCTGAGTTACTTTCCAATCCATTTTGAATTATTTTACTCAAATATATTAGAACTGGATAGTACTTTAGTGTAACTTCCTCATTTCACAGAAGACAAAATTGAAATCCAGACAGATTTAACTATTTGTACAAGGCATGAGCTATAAAAATATGTGTACTGAACAATAATTTTTTTATTGGGCCATTAGTTATGGGCACATTAATGTTAAAAAAAGTAATGATGTAATTTTTAAATAGTCATTACTTTATCCCAGTTTAGAAATGTTAACACTTTATAGATAGATGACTAAGACGGGATCTACTTCAATAGATGAAAAAAATAAAAAGGTATACTTTATTATTATCAGCAATAAAACTATTTTCCTTTTTCTCCTTTTAACAGGTTTCATGTACTCACAACTACCACAATTCAAAAAACGACGTCTAGTATATGAAAAAGTCCCTGGTAGACCCGATGGACAAACTCGTCTGAGGTTTTTTTGAAAGAGGGAAAGAACAGTGTTACTTGCCATATTCTACTGTTTCTGATGACAACCCAGTAACAAAAATTATTTAGATTTGCTCATACATTAAAGAAAATGCAGTTATTCTTAGATGTTCTCAGTGTTCTATATTAAATTTTTACATGTATTGTGCCCCAGTTTGCATTCTTTTAAGTAAAACATTCTGATTTACCAATTAGTATAATAATTGTCATAAGATTCAAAATGTCTTCCAGATTCACCTAAACATCAGAAGCCTTTTAAATTAGCCTCCATCACAGTTCTTTAAATCAGTCTGATCTTTTGAGTCAAGAAGTGAAGATGACCAAAGTCAACCCTCCAACACCAAGATAGTTAAAACCTAGGGTGAAATTAAAGTTAGAGAACTTCCAATTTAAAATGCTGTCTTCCATAAACAAAAGAGAAGTTATTTGCAACCCACATAATAGAAAAAAGGTTTACTTTCCTAATATACAAAGAATTCCTATAAATTGATAGGAAAAACACAACCTAACAGAAAAATGAGCAAAATATATGCAGAGATATTTCACAGAAGAAACAAAAATAGCCAATAAACATTTGAAACAATCTTCAGCCTTATTAATTATACAAATACAAATTAAAACAATAAGTTACTGTTCTTTCACCTATCGTAGAAATTTTTTTTTAATTCATACTATCCAGTGTTGACATGTTGGAAAAAAGGACACTTTCCTATAATGTTGGTACTTTTTTGGAAGACAGTTTGTGTAACATCTACCAAAATACAAAATGTACATATCTTTCAATCCAACACTTAACATATCTAGGAATCTGTCCTAAAGAAATATTCAATTACACAATGATATATACTGTAGTATAATTTGTAATAGGTAAAAATTGTAGACAACGGGTAAACAACGTGATAGCATTTTGCTGTTGAACTGTAGGAGTTCTTTATATATTCAGATATAGGGTTCCCAAAGGTTGTCTCCCATTTTATCAGTTGTCTTCTTACTTTCTTGATAAAGTCCTTTAATGCACAAGAACTTTTCATTTTGATGAAATCCAGTTTATCTATTTTTTCTTTTGTTGTTTGTGCTTTTGGTGTCATATCTAAGAATCCATTATCCAAAAAAGGTCTTTAAGTTTTACTCCTATGTTTTCTTCTAAGAGTTTTATGGTTTTACTTCTTATATTTAGGTCGTTGATCCATTTTGAATTAATTTTCATATATGGTGTGTGGTGTTGGTCCAACTTCATTCTTTTATATGTGTGTACCATCTATTTTATTTGCTAATCTAATGGATTGAAATTATTATTAAACAGAGGGAATTCAGATCACTTAGATTTGGAAGTTTAGTGGCTGGAAGTTAAGGGCGTTCCAATCTGATGGGTTGTATTTATTCTGCTATTGCAACACTACTTATGTTCAAAGATATTTTCATTTATGTATGGGTTTAGGTATAGCTATTTCAAAGAGAAGGAGCCCTGATGGTACAATGGTTAAGCACTTGACTGCTAACCATAATGGGCGGCAGTTTGAACTCACCAGCTGCTCTGCTGGAGAAAAGACCTGCCGATCTGCTTCTGTAAGATTATAGCCTAGGAAACCCTACAGAGCAGTTCTGCTCTGCCCTATACGGTTGCTATAAGTTAGAATCAATTTGACGGCACATAACAACAAAATAGACATTTCAAAGAGCAAATGTTGGCAGTAATTGAAATATTTATGTATGTTACACATTTATCTATTTTTCAGGACATTTATAAAATTCTACAGGAAAAAAAATTTCACCTCCTCCTTTCAGCACTCAGTCTCACAAGCAAACAGAAATCCATATAAGCCGTAAGACAAAAGACAAAAATCAGACACAAGATTTTCCTGTCATAGAAAATGATGAATTAAGCAGAATTTTTATTTCCAAGCTCTTCAAAGATTATCACAAAGTACCCTTTTAAAAGTATCCCAAATCAAATCAAAGGCGCCTTATCAAAATAAAACACTTAAGACGTTAAAAATTCTTTTAGGTTGTAATATTTTCCCATTACTTTCTTTTTAACCATTTGCAATGTTCTGCAGGTTGTATTTTAAACATTTTTTTAAAGACATGAAATATATATATATATATATATATATATATATATATATATTTTAAAGTATAAGGACAACCAAAAAGTACAGAAACTTAAGAAGACAACATCCAAATCTGCTTCATACACAAGATGGGGCAACCTAATACACAAGACAACATAAATCTTTCCAAACAAGTTTGCTAAGAAACAGCTCCCATGTTTATTGTTAAAAATAAAACAATCTTCTCATTTAGAAAAATCAAAGCATCAATTAATTAGTAAAGTCTATTCTTCCCCTAAATTTTATACTTACTTATCTTCATTTAGAAATTGTAAATGCATGAGAAAAGAACAAATTTTGTTATGGTATAAAAAGTTAGGAACAAATTATAAATATTCAATTTTTTTAATAAACAAAAATGTTTTCCTTCTTAAAATGTAAACATCCAGTAAATAAAACATACATTGGTATTCTAGGCATAGAAACACGGTAATTCACTTGTGAAAAAGGTGTATTTTGGTATGTTTGGTGGTAAAGATTTTCATTTGTCGTAAGTATAAAGCACTTCACCAAAAGAACCAGGTCATTATTATTTAAAGGTCTGCTCCTTCACGCAGTTTCTTATTTGAGCAGAAACACATCAATTTCTGTAGAATTTTGGCTATAGAACCAGGACAGGAAAGGTCTCAAGTATCTAAAAGTTGTCTAGCTAGAGAAAAATGTTTTCTTGAGACTTGGAGACAGTCATTCATCACTTTGTAGCTGAAGGCATTCCTCAGTGAACTTCTTCCCTACTGGAAAGAGAGTTTGGTAGGTTTTCACTTTAGTAAGATTTATTCATATAATTAGTCATCATTCATAAAGCATTTCAGTATTCTCAAAATAGAAAGTGACAGGTTAACACAAAAAAATTCAACCCACGCCACTGAATAAACAGCACCAATGACAGTGCTTTGTAAAAAGAAAAATCCTATATTAATGTAAGACTAATATTTTAATACCACGAATGTGGACATTTTCCATTAGAAGATACAATAGTACCTGATAGTAAGATTACTTCCTTCTTCTAGATGTGAACATTTCCTTTTACAACTATGTGAAAAAGAACCTAAGATAATTACTTATTGTATGAACACCCCTTAGAACACATACAAAATTTGAAAAAGACTCCAATAATCTATGCTCTTGCCCCACTTAAAAAAGAAAAAAAAACAAAAGTATTTGAATCCTTGAAATGTCTAATAAGCCATCAGAGAACTGTTTCCATTTCATACTCAACTTTTAAAGGTCTTTTAACCCTTCTCTCACTTTTCCTCCATTAAAATACAGAGATACATTCTGAAAGCCTTTAGGAAAGAAATCACAGCTGGTAGCAGGTACCAGTCTCCCCCTCTGGGGAACCTTTAGTCCTAAGAGGAGGAATTCAGTTGATAGCACTAAAACTAAATAGTAAATCACAACTCTGGGATGGTGTAAGGACAGAGAAGGTGGGATTAAGGTCAAGAAATTACCATCAGGCAACTCAATTAAAGAGTTCAAATACACGAAAAATATTAACATCTCTTGAATTAACACCAAAGAGAATTGCGGCTCTCCTAATTAGACGTATTCTACAGGCATGGTAACAACAGATTAGAGGTACCCTTCAGGGAAAGCTGTACATTTTGCTGTTCTTTGTTTTAGTTCCCCCAAGAATAGTAAATATTCTAAACTCAGTTGCCAAAATCCTTTGGGAAACCCTGTGATAATGCCATGGCCCCAAAATCATATCATCATCACTTACTAGTATCATCACTTACTAGTCTTCAGAGTAAAGCACAGGATCTGGGCTCCCGGAAGGGGTTGCTTCCGGCTGGAACACCAACCAGCAGGGCATCCTTGCAGGCGTTCTGCATGCAGTACTGTTGAAGCTCTGCAGCCGCCTGAGAGACCTGAAACAAAGGGACAACATCTTGACACTGCTCAGTCAGATCCTTCTGACAGCCAAATGATCTGAAAATGATAAAGGTCATACTTTTTGCGACCTCCAAAAGACCCTTTTGCTTAAAGTTCTAATGACTGAACTCCAAACATGAAAGGTTATAATTTCTAAGAACTTCAACTTAGACATTCTTGGTTTAGTTGCTAATTGAACAAAGATAAGAAAAAAAGCATTTTCGATCCATTTAGAATCCTAGTTTGAGACTGAATTGGTAAAGAAAAAGCTCATTCCAGGTGTTCCCTTTACAAATTTTCAAGTATATAAAGCATGCATATCCAAGTTTGCCATGTGAGTAAACTGTTTTAATGCTTACAAGGCTGGAGCCTTATCTAGTCTGCCCAAAACTAGTGATAAAGTTCTTCCACCATGCTTTTGAGGCAGTACACCTTACTGGGAAGAGTATAGCCTCTGGAACCAGACTATCTGGACTCAAATCAGCTCACTACCCGTATGACACTGGACAAGTTACTTAATTTACTAAACTTCTCTCTTAAGTGCCTCTGTGAAATGTATGGGACCAACTGGACCCCACCCTAAAGTTCATGGTCAAAAAGTTAAGGTGAGGAGATACACAGAAAAAATAAGAGGACAGAAGTGGTCAGCATTTCTCTAGCACTATCAAGGAAGAGAGATTCTGGACTGGGAGAATAGCAGCCCAAACACAAGCAAATGTCCCCTGCCATTGGAGCTAAAATAATCCCCACCAAAATTATCTGACTTTCCTTAGTCTGAGCCCATGTTTATCCAGCAACTTCTGAGAGGCTTCTCCAACAGAGGGGTCCCTGGATATCAAACATTCCATTCACTGGGAAGGGATGCTCTCCATTATATATTAGAAAATTGGTGTCCTGGCTTATTTACCAGTTCGCAAGTCTGTCACAATGTTTCATTGCTATTCATAAGGTTTTCACCGGCTAATTTTTTTCAGAAGTAGACCGCCAGGTCCTTCTTCCTATGCACAGGCATTAACTGTGTGGATCATAACAATAGGAATTCCAGAACACTTAACTGTGCTCATGAGGAACCTGTACATAGACTAAGAGGCAGTCTTTCAGACAGAACAAGGGGATATTGCATGGTTTAAAGTCAGGAAAGGTGTATGTCAGGGTTGTATCCTTTCACCATTCTTACTCAATCTATATGCTGAGCGAACAGTCCGAGAAACTGGACTATATGAAGAACGGGGCAGCAGGGTTGAAGGAAGACTCATTAACAACCTGTGTTATGCAGATGACACAACCTTGCCTGCTGAAAATGAAGAGGACTTGAAGCACTTACTGACAAAGATCATGGACTACGGCCCTCAGTATGGATTACACCTCAACATAAAGAAAACAAAAATCCTTACAACTGGACCAATAAACAACATCATGATAAACGGAGAAAAGACTGAAATTGTCAAGATTTCATTTTACTTGGATCCACAATCAATGTCCATGGAAGCAACGGTCAAGAAATTAAATGCCGTATTGCACTGGAAAAATCTGCTGCAAAAGACTTCTTCAAAGTGTGAAAAAGCAAAGATGTCACTTTAAGGACTAAGGTGTACCTGACCCAAGCTATGGTGTTTTCAATTGCCTCATATGCATGTGAAAGCTGGACAATGAATAAGAAAGACTGAAGAAGAACTGACGCCTTTGTATTATGGTGCTGGCAAAGAATATTGAATATAACATGAACTGCCAGAAGAACAAACAAATCTGTCTTGGAAGAAGTACAGCCAGAATGCTCCTTAGAGGCAAGGATGGCAAGACTTCATCTCACATACTTTGGACATGTTATCAGGAGGGACCAGTCCCTGGAGAAGGACATCATGCTTGGTAAAGTAGAGGGTCAGCGAAAGACAGGAAGACCCTCAACGAGATGGACTGACACAATGCCTGCAACAATAAGCTCAAGCATAACAACGATTGTGAGGATGACGCAGGACTGGGCAGTTTCATTCTGTTGTGCATAGAGTCGCTATGAGTCTGAACCAACTTGACAGCACCTAACAACAACAACAAAGTCTGTCACAGAGAAGACATCTCTGGGTGTGCTGAGAGCTTCCAACACTGAGCCATGGAATGAGGCTGACCAGCCCCTGGAATGTTGTGATTCCATAAGGTGCTTGCCTTGCCAAGCACCCCAGATCATACCACCAGGAGTACACCCCTCATATAAGCTTATTATCTATGTGGCTTGGAGCAATTCCCTAAAATTCTTTGGATATCACTTTTATCACCCAGTTGTTTTTTAAAAGTAGAGTATCTTCCCTAGCTACTTCACAGGGTAGGCAGGCATCAGGCTCTCAGTTTTCTTTTCCATCTTAGGTCCCAGAATCATCTTGAACATTTTCAACAACCCTAGTTTCAATCCCCTGACCTTCTCTCCCTAAACAACCTTCTCCTCAACGCCAATAGCCACAGCCAATGTCTTTAACTGCTCCACTTCTGAAATTTTACACTCCAGTATCCTACTTGCTGATCACTATCTCTCTTACCAGTCCAGAGGGCTGCTTCCTTGCTCTTTGATCTCATACACCTCTAGGCCCTGGCTCTTCCCTTTTTGTCTTGCCCATCACCTCCTCCTGGCTCTAATTCCTTCTCTACCCAGTCTAGGTTCAGCCTCTTTCTCGCCAGACCCTTGCCCTCCATTCCCCAATCTCCACCTTACTGGCATTCCTCCCCTGCTAACCCAACTACTTGGATTAACTGCCATTCACCTTCAGCACTCAGATTTCTGGGTGCCCAAATGCTGCTGGAGGAGGAAAAAAAAAATCCCAAGTAGGGTAATCAGTCTCCAACCCAACAGTAGCTGGGTCTTCAAAATCATGTGTCTGTGTATGTGCCTAGTTGAATCCAGCTCTCATTCCCAACAGCACTATCCGCAACTTTCCACTCTAATGACTCACCAGTTGTCTTCCCCTGCCCTAGGAGAAAACTTCGCTATTTCACAAAGAAAATCATCATCATACAAGTCCACAAGCCCATATCTTGTAACATCTATCTTTGCACATATCTTTCTTCTTGTTCAGGAAGGCATCCCTCCAATCCCATGCTTCCACCAACCCGTTTCCTTTACCTTCAAGTTTCCTCCTCCATTTGTTTCTTCCCTGGCCTAAAAATAGGGTTTGTTCCTGCCTCTCAACCTAAAAGCATGGCCTTTCATTTCTTAAATTTAAAAAACTTTCTTTCTCTTTAGAACCAGATTTCTTTAAAAAAAAAAAAAGTCTGCCTATCTGATTACAACCTAGATTCTACTTCTGCTACTACATTGTCACTGGAAGCTCTCTGCATTCCCTAACTCTCTATTCCCTTACCTTGTTTTATCATCTTCATACCATTTATCTGAAATTATTTTACTTATTGGTTAATTTGCTTATTGTTTATCTTTCCCAGTAGAATCATCCTATTCCCAGTACTTAGAATAGTGCTAAGTACACAGAAAAGGCAGTAAGGTACAGACAATATCACAATAGTGATTCATCCATACATTCTACAAATAATGCTATCTAGCTGCTAAACACAATTATACAACAGACACCTTTTGGACAGTTGACTAGACACTGGCCATGTTGACTAAGCCCCCAATTTTTTTAAATCCCTACTTCCTTGCTTCAGTAACCCTGCTTTCTCTTGGTTCCCCTTCTTCCCTCTGTTTTGGCAGGTCCTGTGCTCCATGTTCTGGTATCTTCACATAATACACTCCCCTCCGCCATACATTTTAATTATCCTTTCAGCTTTGTTCGTTCTCTAACCTGAGTTTCAGTCCATATAGCCAAGAACCTCCTGGACATCTCTCAAAGTTCATATATCCAAAACTGAATTCATCATTTCTCCAAACCTGCTCTCCCTCCTCTCTACCTCAGCGAATGGCAGCGCCATTCATCCCGTCACCACTCTAGAAACCAGAGCATCCTTTCTCCTTCCTCTCCCCCTCTTTCTATCAATTCATCACCAACTCCTATCCATTAATCGCCTCCCCATCTGTGGACTCCATCCTCCAGCACCAGCCCAGACCAAGCCACCAGCGTGTCGCTTGCATTACTGGTCTCCTCATGTCCGTTCAGCTCTCCTCCACACACTGTCCACATCACAACCAGGGCAAGCTTTCTGAAGCGGGAACGACCCCGGGGGCACTCCGTTCGGGACATCCTCGCTGGACGGGTCCGTCTCCCGGGGGCCCACCAGCCCTCGACTCCTCCGGGGCCCGCATCCCCCGCCTTTTCCCGGCGCCTCCAGACCCAGGGTCGGCCCTGCACGAGCGCCCATCCTGCCGCGCACCACGTCCGACCCGGGAGCCTCCGGCCCGCGGAGGCCCAGCTGGCCCTCCCAGCCACTTCCGCTCAGGGGCCGCCGACCTCCTCCTCTCACGCGCCTCGACCCGTGCCTCCGCACCGCCGAGGAAAAGGCACTTCCTGACCGGCGCTCACCTTGATCCTCTCCACGCCGGCCTCCAGCTTGAGCTGCTCCACCAGGCGCTGCAGGGCGTTCACGCTGGGCCCGGAAGACATGGCGGCGGTGGCGCTCGAATCCGAGGGTGGGTGTGTGGGGCTGGGTCTGACTGCGAGGCCCGGAGCCTGGGCGCCGCCCCCGGGCGGGGAAGCAGCTGTGCTCGCCCCGCTGCCCGGAGCCCGCGAGCTGCTCGCCTCTCCCGGGCGCGCCGCTCCACTCGGCGAAAGCCGATGGTAAGAGACAGTTTGGGGTTCCAAACTAGTTTGCAATTGTCTCAACTCTTTCTGTATTCTAAGCATACATAATACCTGTGTCTATACCCGTATCCGAGGCGGGGTCGGTCGGCCGCGTCATGGGGCCCACAAAAGGGCGCCCATCCACATCTAAGCTGGGACTTCTAGGATAAGTTGGGTGTGGGGTGTAGGGATGGAATGGGCAGGCAGCAAAGACGCATCTCTGATAAATCAGAAAACTATAATCCAATGTGGCTGGAGCCAAGCTGTGAGATGAGTGGGACAAACGGGTCGGATTGTGAAGGCTACTATGCCACGTGAAGATACTATCCTGAAGGAAATGAAGGAGAGTTGGTAGAATTTCCATGAAACAGTAACAGGCTAACATATTAGCTTGTAAGTGGGGTAAAAGCCCAGGCCTTGACATCTCTGCGGAAGTTAAATAGACGAAATTCACACATTCCCCATCCAACCATTGAACTATAACCATTGTTTCTATTCTGCTTTTAAATTTATAAAAATGTGCATATTAGTTCCTGTTACAAAACTCAGATCATACTATAAAATTTGTGTTGATCTTTTTTCACTTTACACATCGTTAACATTTCCTTATATTATTCTTGTACACCATTTTATTTGTTAGAAGCTGCTACAGTCGAATAATGCAAGTAGGTAATTTATTGGCTTGTGTAAGTGAAAAATCCAGGGACTTTAAACTGGTAGATCTAGTTGCTTCAATAATAGCTTCGGGGCTCTCATTCGCCATCTCTTGGCTCTGCTTCTGAGTGTTGACTTCATTTGCTTCAGTGGTTGATAGACTCTCTCTAGTGCTGTGAAGCAGGGCAGTTGTTGGTGGCTGTCCTCAAGTCAGGGGACTCATGGTGACCCCATGTGTTACAGAGCAGAACTGCTCCATAGATTTTTCTTGGCTGTAATTTTTATTGAGGCTTCCCTGCGTGACACAAACGGTTAAGCCTTCGACAACTGGTGGTTTGAACCATCTAGAGCTGCCTAAGAAGACAGGCCTGTTGGTCTGCTTCCAAAATATCACAGCCTTGAAAACCCTATGGAGCAGTTCTACTGTGCACACGTGGGGTTGCCATGATTCGGAATCAACTGTATGGCAACTAACAACAACAGCAATCTTTATGGAAGCAGTTCACCAAGCCTTTCTTTTGGGGAGCTGCTGGGCTACATGTTTTCTTTGTCCCAGCTTAGCAAACCCAAGGCTGAGAGCACCTTTTTTTCTTTTTAATTGTTCCAGCAAAAAATGTTGGATCTCACTGACACTAATGAGTCATGTGCCCGCCTCTGAACCAATCACTATTTGAAGGCAAGAGTGCCTGGAGTCCTACTGTTCAAATTAGCTGGACCTAAGCCAAGAGCAGGATGAGGGGCTGGGTCAGCCCCACCTCTAGTGGGTGCTGTGTTATACCACCCAAACTCCCCATTCAGGATGGAGACATTCATTTCCCCAGCTGCTGGGAGTGGTAGCAGCTGATGCTTCTCAGCTGAATCTCTCTCTGGAAATTGTCCTCAGCCAGAGAGACTCCTAGACTAAGGTCACACCTTATGCAGTGATTGTTGTGGGGTGTATAAGAGGGGAATCCCAAACCCATTGCCTTAAGACATTGAAGGGATAACCCCAGCTTCAGAGCTCCCCCTGGGATCATCTGAGGCCTTTATCACAACTGCCTCACAGTTCAACTTCTCCCTCCGCCCAGTTCCCATTTCCTGGACTCATCCCACAAGTGTTGATCTTGAGGACACTCCCCAGTAAACTTATTGCATGTAAACCTCCATCTCAGAGTCTGTTTCTCTGGGGAATTCAAACTAAGACACCTACCTACTCAAACCACATGGACTGAGAGAGGGGAAAGTGGTTCCCCAAAGGAACCAGAACGGACAAGGAGCAGTCAAAATACTATTTTTAATATGCCCTGTAAATATTATTTTTAATGGCTGCATTGTACTTATGCCATTATACAACAGTATCATAATTTATTCACCTAAAACCAAACTCATTGCCGTTGAGTCAATTCTGACTCATAGCGGCCCTACACGATAGAGTAGAACGGACCCATAGGGTTTCCAAAGAGCTGCCGGTGGATTCGAACTGCCGACCTTTTGATTAGCAGCCAGGCTCTTAACCACTGCTCCACCAGGGCACCTTTATTCACCTAAACCAAACCAAACCAAACCAAACCTGTTGTTGTCGAGTCAATTCTGACTCGTGATGACCACTTTAATTATACAGCTTTGAGCATACGTTGTATTTCCTTAGGATGTATTCCTAAAAGTGGAATTGATGGGCCAAAAGATGTTTTCTTACATAATCTTCCAGACCCGTTGCCTAGCCTGTTGCCGTCAAGTTGATTCCTATTCCTGGCAGAAGGCTATGAGACTGCCTATTTCTCTGCACTCTCACAACTCCATATTATGGTTATCATCTTTACCAATCTAACACATGAAAAATAGTATCTCATATCTTTTTAATGTCTTATCTATTGAGGCTGAACATTTCTTCTATTTTATAGGCTATGTGTTTGTGGTCTTTGGGTTGTTAAAGGGTTTTTCTTATTTAGTGACGAGCACATTTACAAGCCTGAAAGCCCTCTCTGGTGGCAGATTCCCTTACCACAAATATTTTAACATACATTCTAGTCAAGAGATGAAAAGTATACATTGGGAACAATACATTAATGGATTGTTGAATAGGACAGAGTAGACGTAGACGTGTGTCACAAAAGATATGGTAAAGAGCTCAGTACAAAGAATAGAGAGGATTAGGAAAGGCTCTTTGTAAATGGCAAAGCCTGGACCTGGAAAAAGGTGGCCTACAGATAGTCCAGAGGAAGAGGAAGAGCAGTCCAATAGAAGAGAAAGCAGGAGGCAGTGTACACATATGGAGCGAATGATTACAGGGAGAGAGAAAATACAAAGCTGCTAAGGCCAGAAGTCATGGAAAACCTCAAAAGAAAAAGTTTATGGCAAACAGTGGGGTACCCAAATGGTGAGACATTTTAGGAATACTCATCTAGGATGATACTGTAAAATGGACTGAAGTTGGAGTGACAAGATGGCTTTAATAATGTTTTGTCTTTTTGGTGAGAGGAATAGCTAGACTGAGGCTCTTGATAAGACTAGGATGGTGGGAATGAAGGGGAACAAATTCAGAAGCCTAAATCAATAGTACTTCATGGTGGTTATGAAATGTAAAGGAGAGAAAGAGGAGGGACAAGGGGTTCTGAAACATAGAGTAGGCTAGAACTGATGCCGTAACAGAACTTAGGAAACAGAACTAGGTTTGAGGGGGGAGTAAAAAATGATGAGTTTGGCTTAGGAGAAGCTAAGTCTTCAATGGTAACTGCTACATGCTGGTGTACTCTAGGCTGCTGAAACTGTTCAGTAATCAAGATGTTGATGGGAGAGATATCTGCATGGCAATGACAGCTGAAATAATGAGATTAAGTAATTAGAAAAGGTAACTTTGGAGTTGCCCACAGGGAGGGGATACATGTAATACTTGTGTCAGCCATGAGGCAGCAGAAAAAGTCTAGAGGTGTGCTCCATCTCCCTCTTTCATGCATGTGCACACCTACCTGTGTTATTGTTTGTGCTGTTCAAGATGAATGGTCTAGCTTTGAAACAGCCAGGTTTCCTTATGATCCATGGACAAGCAGGCTGGTACCATTTATAATTGAGGAAGACTGACCATCTGTGTGATGCTTTATACTTTACCAAAATGTCTTCTCATCCATTATTTTTGCATCATGGAACTTCTGCGTTGAAAGAGGCCATTATATAATGTGGTCCACCTACAAGTTTAAAGACAAGGAAACTAAGGCCCACTAAGGGAAGTGAAATGATTTGCCTAGTATCACACAAAGTGGTAGTGGGGAAGAGAACTCTTAGTTTTCCAGAGAAGTCACTGCTCAAGAGACTAGAGTCCTTTCCCACGTGTGCAGTTAGTAGATCCTCATTATTCACGGATTCCGTATTTGTGAATTTGCCTACTCACTAAAGGTTATTTCTAACCCCAAAATCAATACTTGTGGCAAGTTTGCAGTCATTTATTGGCACATACAGGGTGGGAAAAATTTGAGTCACCTGACACGCATGTTCCCGGCTGAGGTTGAACAAGATGACACAAAGCTCTCACGCTGTAAACAGGTATACCTTTTACAGTCCCATCTAGTGCCATGTTTTCTGCATTTTTGTGCTTTTTGTTGATTTCCCTGTTTAAAATGGCCCCTAGCATAGTGCTAAAGCGCTGTCTAGTGCTCCTAAGCACAAAAGGCTGTGATGTGCCTTACTGATAAAAATACACGTGTTAGGCAAGTTGTGTACAGGCATGAGTTATAGTGCTGTTGGCCTTGAGTTCAATGCTAATGAAACAATATATATTAAATATAGTGTCTTTAAACATCAACGGAGCCCTGGTGGCTCAGTGGTTAAGAGCTTAGCTGCTAACCAAAACGTCGGCAGTTCGAATCCACCAGCCACTCCTTGGAAACCCGATAGGGCAGTTCTACTCTGTCCTATAGGGTTGCTATGAGTTGGAATTGACTGGATGGCAATGGTTTTTTTTTTTTTTTTTGTAAACATAAACACACATAAAACAAGGTTATGTGTTGATTGGTTGATAAAAATATTGTGAGAAGCTCGCAGGAACCTAACCCTGTATTTCCCCTAGGAGTAACTGTTCAGTATTTGCTAATACAGTGTTTGCAGTGACTTTATGGAACATACATACTGCAAAATTAACAAAAATCGACTGCATTTCCAAAGCTCTGAAAGGAGGTGAGGCATGGAAACTAAAAAGGACCTTCCTTTCCCTTCATAGCTGCTAAAATGCACAGATCACCACTATCTTAAAAGAATTTGTTATACTTTTTTTTCTTGGTTAAGGTAAAAGCTTTTGTATTTCCAATCTGTTTCCAAGAATCTCAGTACTTTTCAGAAATGTCAATGTCCTTATAGACAACTCAAAGTTTCATTTCTTTTCCTGTTATGATCTATAATTCTTTACTCCTCTCACATGTATTTTGTCACCTTCCTATTGGCAGAGGGTTATTTTTCCAGAAAAGAGGCTGTAAGTCACTATTTTCTATAAAAATGATACAATGGGAAGGGGTTTCTATCCACTAATGTGATATCAAAATGACAATATATGCCTTTTGCAGTTTTCTAAAGTAATTAAAAAAGAAACAGAAGCACATTAACAACGATAGTTAACGTGACAGTGTAAATCCCATGTAAAATTTTTTCACTTCCTTATACCGACTGCATTATTTTTAGAACTTATAATAAATCCAGAGCTAAAGAAATGCCAGCAGGTTTCTAGATTTAGTGTGGCTTCTTTGGAGAGATTTTTTACAGACATTGTTGAGACTTTAGGAAGAGGTGGACTTAGGGCTACTTGGCATCTTTTTGAGCAACTGTTCCAAGAATGTCTTCTTTGCTCTTTTTTCTCACTGAAAGTGTCACTTCAGTAAATGTAGGCCTTATACTAGCAAGTCGCTGGTCATTTGTTCTTCTCTCAGTTTTTCGTTATTTCCTGAGTTGTCATCTCAGCTGCGACACCTTGTGCCCCAATGGCAACAAGAGGCACCTGCTTTTAAAATATGTAAGTCCACTTTTTCACTCTAGCACAGTACACCTTGCACTAGGTAAAGAATTCAAATATCTAGTAAAAGAAACAATCGGTTTGTAATCATCATTAAAACACTCTCTTCTCCTATCTCTATGGATTTTAACAAGTAAGACACTCCTTCCTGTTCCCTCTGAAGGCAAGGAAACTCATTTATTGGGCATTTAATATATGCCAGGCACTTAACTCTTAAAACCAACAGTGGACTCCAGCATAGCAATGATTACAGGGATGGTGCAGGACCAGGCAGCGTTTTGTTCTGTTCTACAGTCTCTATGAGTCGGAACCGGCTCGACGGCACCTAACAACTTAACCCTTCTATCTTGTTTAATTCTCACAATAATCTTGTTAGTTAGAATCTCCATATTAAAGAAAACAAGGTCCAGGGGTTAAAGTAACCAGCACAAGGTCAAACTGTTAGTTGCAGAGCCCAAATCCAAACCTTGGTCTACTTGGCTGCAAAGCCTGAGCCATTCCACTACATCCTGGTTACTCTTCTCAAGGTTAAAAAAAAAAAAAAAAAAAAAGACTGTCGAATGAGGTTTCTCCATCCCCTCATGAAACCAGGGAGGACGTCTGTAAGAAACCCCTTATGACACTGAACTAAGACCATGTGATCCATTCCATACACTATTGTCAAAGATACTCTGAATCTTTTAACAATTAAGAAGCTGATTAAAGTTACCACTAATTAGGTAGACTTTTTACTTAAATATCCGTATTTCTTAATTGTAGGCAATCTAATCTACTTCAGTCCCTAAACCTAACGAAGCTGCAGCCTTACAGAATTTTAAATCTAGATTATGTGTAAAAAGATCCTCCCATTTCACCGATGAGGAAACCACAAAGGGTAACTAATTTGTTTAGCAAATTTTATCTAGTTATTAGGTTCTAGGTCTGCCCCTGGCCCATATTTAAATGTGAAAAGAATATCACATTTTGCAAATAAGATTATGGTTCATTCATACACAACTCGCTTGTGTCATTACCAACATTTATCTGCCTCAAATGCACAGTTATAACTCAACAGAGACCACGTTTGATATAGTATCTTGAAGTAAGTGTATCCTATTTATAAACCCCCAGAAGACCAAACCCACTGCCCTCAAGTCGATTCCGACCCATAACAACCCTATAGGACAGAAGAGAACTGCCCCATAGGGTTTCCAAGGAGCCCCTTGTGGATTTGAACTGCTGACCTTTTGGTTAGTAGCTGTAGCTCTTAACCATTACACCGCCAGGGTTTCCTATTTATACTAATGTCTAAAAAAGCCTCTTCTAATTTCCACAGAACTTTCAGTTTGGGACCAGCAGCCTGGTTCCTAACACTAGCTGAATGTTAGCTCAGCAACTGGCTTCCGCTCAAGCAAAGTATTTCCAGAGTTTGGCTGTTAATATTTACTGCCCTTTCAGTCCAAAAAAAAAAAAAACACTCCAAGGAAACGAACTTATGATTTTCTAAACATAAATTCAGTAGCACTAAAATAGTTGATAATTCTCTAAACTTTTTTTTCATGTAACATTTTAAAAAACTTTTACAACTATATGCACACTATATACCAACTGTACTCTATATAAAAGATTCCAGGCATGGTAGTTACCTTGTAGAAGTAGCTATGTTATGAAACTGCAACCTATGATTTGTAGAACTTGGAGAATTCATAAAGAAATAAAACCAATGAGGAAAGGGTTAGGAGTGAAAACTGTTATAAAGCCTGTGAGAAGAACTCATATTAATAAGCATATCTGGTATGTATATGACCTTAAGAGTAATTTTAGTACAGACCCCAGTTATGTTAAGTGGTAATAAACAGGTAGGAATGAGCAGTCATGCTCAATAACCCCCTGAATACCAAGCAAAAATGAAATGGTAATAGTCCACATCAAGAAAGATAAAAATGAGACACAAGAAAAAATTTCTAACTAGTGGGATTGTGGGCTAACCTACTCAGGATTCCTCTCTAGATGCTTCTAAAATGGAGAGGCTTTGGGGCAGAATATGGACATAGTAAAAATACGCAAACTGTTTCAATGACACTTGTGACAACTCAGGCCCTTCCTTAGCTCTAAGATTTCGAAGCAGAGAGTTATTTTGTTGAGGGAAGTGGAAAGAAAAATCATAGTACTTCTGTTAAGGAGAGTCCATTTGTTTTGTCCATGCAATGGCCCATGATTCCAAAAGACCAACTGAACTTTTACCAAGTTAGCAGGTTGCTGGCAAAAATTTCAGAACTGAGATTTCTAGAAAGACAGGAAGAAACACAGTGCTCTAGCAGATATGCAAAAGAATTTTCAAAGGTACGTTGTGTTCATCAGACAACCTTCATGAATGCTGTCCCATTATTATTCTTATCACTAGGTAAAAAATACATAGGCAATCAGAAATCTCCTTGAAATTTTAACAGAAGGAAGTGCTTATGTTTCTTTTTGGTCCTCATAACATACGGCATATATGTTGTTGGATGATAAATACCATTGTGTGTGAATTATATGATAATGCATCTATTAAGACAGGGATTGCTAACTCTGCAGACAACCACAGCACCTTTGAAAGGCATTTATCTATGGATAAGAGTTTTATAAGTGAAGTTTAAAACACAGCTGCTTATATTTTAGCTCAGTACCTTCTCCATCCTCCTATAAAAGAATGGCTACATAAAACACCTTCGTCTAAAGTTTACAAAAATATAAATACCATAATAGATCATTTCAGAATTTTTGAGCTGCAGAAAAGCCCTAGTAATCATCTGGTGAAACTCCTCCCCAGTTTTATAACTGAGGCAACTGCAGCCCTCACTCACACTTGCCTAAGGTCTTTGACTATATTAGCAAGGACGGAACACAGGTCTCCTGCCTCTTTGTATACTTTAAATTTGAGGGCTGAACTCCTGAAAGGACTAACTTATTTTAGCTAGAAAAAGACTGCATATCTACTATGCTACACTGATCTTTAAAAAATTATATATTGAAAAGACAGTATGTTAATCTTTGATTTAAAATGTCATACCAACAAACTTGTGTATTGCAATTATTTTATTAATATAAAGCAATGGGATAAATCCTTTAACAGGAATATTGATTCACTACCATTAATGCATATTGATACTTCAGTGCCGTATCATGCTTGCTTCCATCAAATTATGTGTGGATTCCTTTCACTGCCACATATATGAAAACATTTATATTTCACTGACCAAAAGAACAGCACAAAGCCATGCACCTCTTCTTTCTGGTTTAAATGCATGTAAATACATTCAGGTACACTTGGATTTTTTACCACTCAAGGACTTCATAATATATGAGCAGGTTTTCAGTACCCTATTTCTGCCCTGTCATTACTTTTTAAATTAAAAAAAGAAAAATACTGTGGTACAAAAGACCTTTTTATAAGGTCCCTTCTGAAGAAATGTTTTGAGAATACAGTTATAGTCCTATAATGACTGTAATCAAGATCATCCTACAAGGACATGCTGGTAGACTCACTCTCCTGGAGAGTTTCTGATCTTATTAGGAATATTATAATGACAGAGGGAGGGGAGAATATATTATAAAGACATTCCAGCAGAATACTCTCCTAGAGAGATTTTTTTGAACATATTTCAATCCTATAATGATTGTAATGAAGATGACATAGTTGGATCATTCTGCTGAAGATTATGTCTAGAAAGACACACAGTGTAATTAAACGCTGTTATAATTTTTGTGTTGTCTGAAAATATGGAGTTCATGAAAGCAGAAAAATGTAGCACTATAACAAAGAAGAAGGAAACACTACTGAAGAATAAACACTTAAACACATACAAATTCTAAATGGTATCTGATAAATTTTCATGTCAACTCTTTTAACTAGACATATAAAATTTTTAAATGGCAATGAATAGATCTTCATGTCAAATCTTTTCACAAAACCCACAAATAGATTATAAAAATTGAACAATCATAAATGTCTTATGTACAAAGTTTTAGGGGAAAGTTTAAATTTCTACATTATTCTTTTTAATCAAATACTTGAAGAATTTTAGTTACTGCTGAGGAGCAACTGATACATTTCTAAAATAATTCAGTTATGAAAATAATATCACAATTGTGGTTTGGCACAGTAGCATTCCAGTAATTCAGTCATCCACAAATGTTAGCCGGCCAGGTCCTTCATTCTTCATCCATCTCCTGTATCTCTTCCATCTAGGGTCATTTGCCAATTTTTTCTTTAGTTCTTCCTCTTGTTCTTGTCTGTAGACCTGTAAGGATAAATAACACTAACTGGCTTTACAATCCAAAGAGAAACTCTGTCATTAGCTTCATGGCATATTTACATTTTAAAAATATAATTTTAGTAAGTTTCCAATGAATATATTCATTTGTCTTCTAAAGCCCATTCATGTAAAAATACTAAACAATTAAGCATTTTGACATTCAGGGTTAAATAAAAAAGATCAAACTTGTTCAGTAACTAGTTATTTTTTGTTATTGATTCCTGTATTCTAGAAATACATTCCTTCCCTCCTTGAAATCATATATAAACTGAGTTTAAAGACTTTAAACACTTCCTTTCTACAACTAGTCCACTGTTAAAGAATCAACACTTTATTTTTGAACATGATACACTATAAATTTAACTGATGACTTTCAGTATTTGTTGATCCTAACCTTACATATACGTTTGTCTCCAAACTGAACTTATATCTATTTTCATCTTCAAAGACAATTATTGGTTTTTCAAAATATTTGTTGATTAAAGTTCCTAAGGAAGGTTAAATAAATCACACAGGTTAAGAATAAAGACCATTCCCATTTCTATAACTTTCAGTGGATGTCAAGTGACGCTAAACAGAATGTTTTCATAGCCAGTTTCACAGCCACATCGAATTTTAGAAAGCAATTATTTCCAAATATTAGGAAGCGATGACTAGGATAACCTTATATTAGCATTCTATGAATGACACAGTTTTGTGGATGGAGCTGCTTAACCTACTTAAAAGAAAACTTCAAATCGCTTAGGAGCTAATAGTTTATTACCTCTCATTTTTATGTTATTTTAAAGCAAGCTGAATATATCCACTTGTCAACACATTCTGGCAGTTCACAATAAGTTAATTTACTTAAATATAACTCAGACTGAAATTTTACTTTCAGTAAAATCTATTTAGGACATCTCATCTAAAAAGGAATGGCTATAAAACAAAAAAAAACTACTACATTTTGATTTCTTAAGAAGGTTTCACTGTGCTCTATTCTTATATTTAATACACTAATCAATTAATTTTGCCCACAATCTAAAACAATATCATTATGATGAGACTGCTGGACCTTTTAGCACTGTGGCTAGATCGCTGATCACATCTAAGTAATTTTTATATTGACAATTGTAGAATACAACATTTATTAAAATGCCAAGATTTTGAGACATTACAGTAAGTAAATTAAACTTAACGTAACTTTCCACGTTAGTTATCAAGCAGAAGACTCTGTGCTCATTTTTAAATGAACAATTATTTCAACAAAATTTCTCTTCTTTTTTTTTTGTTTGATTTTTAAAAATCTCTAGCTAGGTCATATAACTGGAAGAAAACTTGGGGAGGATCAAATTTTAGTCAGTGTAGTCAATACAGCTGTCCTAACACCCTTGCAGACACGTATCTCCTCATCCCACTGCAGTTGAACACATCAAATTAGACCATTGTTAAGCTTCTTCAGAATTAATCGATTTAAGTATTTGAAATTCATCTTTTAAAAAGACAATTTACTAGTTAATCCATTGCCCCATTACCAAATACAGCCATACTTTCAGTAAAAGGTCTTTATTTATTATTTAACTCTTGGATTTAAGAATCTGAGCACACTTCTGACCCCTATCGCATACCTAATTTTAACTTGGTAAAGAGTGTGACACTAAAATCACAGCAGAGGGACCACTCACCTCATAATTCTCCTTTATCCAGAGCTCCCGTTTAAGAAAAGTTTCTTTCTGATGATCCTCTAGACTGTCAAACTGAGACTTTGACATCTTCATAGATTTACGTATGATATACAGTCTCTCTTCCTCTCCATATTCTTTGCCTTTGATGTTAAAATTATAGATCCACCGGCAATACCAGACTATATATGAGCACAGGTGAAAAGGAGCCAAGATAATTTGAAACAGGAGAAGATCACGTATTTGGGGCTTCTGATAGCCTCCCTTTATATCTATTTTACTCTTTATAATGTTCTTTATGATGTTCTCCTCCTCGTCACGAATTTCCTCTTTGGACTTTTTGTTTCTGCCTTTTTCTTTGGCTTTTTTTAGCAGTCCCTGCTGCTTGGCGATTTCTGTAGCTTGGATACGGTACTTGGGCACTGTAGCTAGGTAGCTGATTGCTTTATTGTAGCTATTCCACCAGCTGAAAAACTAGAATATTTAACAAAGAAAAACAGGTCATTTTTATTACCAAAATTCACCTATAACTAAAGCAATAGTAGAGAGTCTTGATGAATACTATCACCCAAGAAACCCATTCCGATTAACTAAAAATAAGGCTTTCAAAGATGTAACATGTAAAAGACACAGCTGAGTGGAAACAACCGAAGTGTCAAGTGTCCTCAACAGATGAACGGATAAACAAAATGTGGTACATGCATACAGTCGAGAGGAGTGAAGTTCTGATACATGCTACGGCCCGGATGACCCTGACAATACTGTGCTGAGTGAAATGAATCAGATGTAAAAGGACGAATATTGTGATTCCACTTATACAAAACATCTAGAGTATGCAAATACATAGAGACAAAGGTTTATTAGTGGTGACCAGGAGCTGGGGGAGAGGGAAATGGAGTTACCACTCAAGGGGTACTGAGTTTCTGTTTAGGGTGACAAGAAACATTTGGAAGTGGATAGTGGTGATGGCTGTACAACATGACGCATGAAACTAATGTCACTGAATTGTAAACTTAAAAATGGTTAAAATGGCAAATGTTTTGTTATATATTTTATCACACAAAGATGCAAATGCACAATGCCCAGGTATGCTCCAGAATGGGATCTCAAGGTGGGTAAGGTAAATCCTGAGCTGAGGCAAAATGCCATAGATTCAAACAGATACCCAAGATCAGAGGATGGATGGATACAATTACACCACACCCGGGGTTTCTCACATCGTTGTCATGTGGCTCTTCCTCAGATCGCTACTAAGAAACGCTCCTGTTTTTTATGCTGCAGTTTACTTATTGGAGGAAGAGTTAAATGGCAAAAACCAGCTGGTGAGGAATATGTTAAAAAATTCACAGGGTATAGCCTCACGTAACTGTATTCATTCCTCTCTCTTTCCTAAACCATCTATATATACTACAGTAATGTTCTTCATATTCTGAACTGAAAGACTCAAATATGTTTGGGCAGGAAGACATTAAATTACTTCATAAATATATTCAACCACAAAAAATTTTATTAACTGTCAGAAAAGCCTTGCTCCTCACATAGTCCCTCCACACAGTTCAGTTGCTATTTTATGGAAAGAATGCAGCAGTTATACCACCAATATCCTGAAAGATTACAACAGAAATCTATTAGGAATAACAACCAAAAAAAGTTACCAGGGTATTACATTATCTGAAACAGAAAACTAAAATTATCTGTGCGCTTTCCTTTTAAAGGGCAATACTTCTACAAAAGCTGGTATGTTTAAAATATACAACTTTAGTCTTCAACAGAAATTCTTTTATCATATAAACTGAACCTCATTTCTGGGAATTAAACCGGAGAAGTAATTTTCAAACCAGCAAATTGCTTCATTTAAGTCACTTCACTTGTTCTTTTCCTCTCAAAAAGTACATGATAGATATGGTTAGTTTAATAATAATAGTAGGGGAAATTCATTTCAAGCTGAAGTTAAATTTTTGTGCTATTTCAAAACAACACAGCAAGTTATTGGAGCTCGTTTTCTATTTCAGTGGTTCTCATTCAGCATGAGCAGAAGCACCCTTAGGGAAACGTGTGGGACATTTTTGGTTGTCACAATGGCGGGAGCGCTACTCGCATTTGGTGGAGGACAGCAAGAATGTTAAACATGCTGCAAACCACAGGGCAGTCCCACACATGGGAGAATATTCCTGCCTTGAAAACGAAAAGTTCTCCTGCTGAGAAACACCGAAATTGTTCTCCTTCAATTTGAAATATTAACAGCAAAAGAAGGTTACGCTGAGGAATTAACTTTTAAGCTGAGATTAGAGCATAATTAAGTAGCCAGCAAGGCAAAGAGTAAGTGGGAAGAGTGTTCCAGGCAGAGGAAACTGTATGTGCAGTATAAGTGGGCTCTAAGTAGGTGAACGCCTGGTGTTCCAGGAACCGAAATATGACCAATGTGCTTTAGGAGACTCAGTGAGTATACTCAATCCTCATGAATAGCTCAAGAGGAGAGCCGAGAAGTAGGTACGGGCCAGATCACACAGGCCTTGGTAAGCCATATTAAGAAGTTCAGGTTTTTCCCAAATTTAATGGTAGGTAAATTGTTTAAAAGTTCTACAAAGGCAGATGATATGATGCAGTTGACATTCACTCTGGCTGTTATGTGGAAAACTCTAGAAGGGGGCAAGAAGAAGAGATCAAGGGTACCTTGGTTTTTTGTTGTTTTTTTTTTTTTTTTAACTATATAATGACATTCACCATCAATTTCCTACATTTCCCACCAACAAAGATTCCAATACTATTGACTGGTTGAATAAATGAGCATTTTGCCAATGTAAAAAAATTAATCTCAACTGGAACTAAAATTCTACAAATGGTACTTCTAGCTCAGTTTTAATGACTAGCACTAAACTAGTACACTTGTGCACATATACAGAGACACATATCCAATACACACCTGAAACACGGAAATAGCACAAACACTGACCAAAATTACAACTCTAACATCCACTTTAGGGGCTAAACGCCTGCTATAGTAGTGGTAGTAATGGCTGTAGTACTCTTCTGGATGATCCAGCAGGTAGTCATAATCTTTTCGTGTGTCTTCATCCTGTAAGATAACACAACATCCAATTTCATAGTAGAACATTTCATGAAATGGCCTTAGTTTAGAATCTGTTAAGTTAAATCTAGAATTTTATAATTATATAAGATGAAACTGAGTGAAATTAACTGTCAAAAAAAAAAAAATTCCCATTGCTCTTCAAAGACATATATAAACTCGTTCCTAGAACTTTAATATTAGGTAGAAAGCATAATAAAAATATTTTCCCAAAATTCTTGAGTATTGTTAGTTCTCCTGGAAAAATAAAAACACTTCAGTAACAATTACCCACGCTTTTTAAGCCAGTTTTGTGGTGTTAAGGATGTTGCTATATTCCTATAACTTAAGAGCATGCTGACATCTACTCTCAATAACTGTTGATATGTTTCTCTCTTGTATATATTCACAATCCCGTTCTAGCCTTGTGAAGAAAATTTTCTGTTGAAAGCCACAATTAAGACAGCAAAAACTAGATGAAGCCACTGTGTGCCTACAAAACTGAATTAAACTCATCTCAAACACTGAAAGATCAATGCAGTAGAATGAAAAAGGCAATGGTCAAAGTCTAAACACTTCGGTTTACTAGCTTTGTGACCCTCAGCAAAATTTTTAGCCTTTCTGAGCCTTACTCTAGTTCACTGGTAAAACAGAGGTTAATAATACCTGCCCTACTAATTTTATAAGAGTGTTTTGAAGTCAAAAGAAATATTACACCTTATACAAAAACATAATACAAATATGTACTGCTTTACTATTTATAATACATTGTCACAGCCCAGTTCATAACTGACGTACATACAGACCTTTCTTACTCGTATAAACATGCCGAAAGAATTACAGCATTTTGAAATGCTGCTCTGAATGTTCGTAAATAAAACATTTCTTAAAACCGTCTCTAACTCTACTCAGCTGCTAACAGGGATAAATGTCAATCTTTTATTACACTATATATAGGCTGAAGAGCTATTAAACTAGATTAGTTTGCTTTTTATCCTACAGGAAACATACTTCAACTTGTCCTGTTTCAAAAAAAATGTTAAAGAGCAAAACAAAATTTTAACTCTCTATAAATGAGTGCAATAGAAACCATTACAAAAACAAAAATCTTTAACTTACAGCATTTTTCTAGGATGAATTATTCAACATTCATAAAACTGCAGATTCTCGCTAAAGGCATTTTAAAATCTGTACCTAGAATCTGGCCTTGCTACTGCAGACAAAGGCTCAGGAGTCTCTTCAGGGCCTCTCTCCTTCTGAGTCCAACATGTAGTTTCTCAGATTTAAAATGGGAAGTTTGCTAATGACAAATTCTCCTGTGTATCCATTAAAATCATTACATATTTTCTCTTAAGAATTTTTACTTTAACTGACAGCATTCTAAGTGATAGTTCATTCATTACATTCAAAATATTTTTTATTTCTGACTAGTATCTGACACTAGGTAAACTAGTTAGATATGAACATCCTTAAAGTCTGTTCCATGGCACTGTATGCCTGGGGTCTATTTTATATGAGAACTGCCTGTTACATATGGAGGGCTGAGCTCAGCCTGAAATTCTTCCCAGATTCACTCCTTTTATGTTCTCTTCTGTCTGAAAGGATTTTCTTATGGCAACTGCCACAAGCCTCATTGTCAGCTCTATCATTCCTTCTTTAAACCATCATCATATTCCAGAGCTTTTAACCTAGGAAGGGTAAAACTTCACAGAGGTCACACAGAAAGTCCTTAGGTCTAAAACTTACATTTCTTGATGTATCTCATTTTGAGTACTTCTAAATATCTTTTCAGACTTTTTCCATTCCCGTCTCCAGTCATTTTTTGCTTTTTGGGCTAATTGTATAAAAATACCCTGCTTTTGACCTGAAATCCTTGACTTTGAACTCAGTCTCCCAATCTTGGCAGACATCTTTTGAAATGTTTTCCTTCAAACATAAATCTCCTCCTTGCGCTAACTAGATTACATGCAGTTTTGAAACTAAATGCCACACTGAAATCTGATTCCTACAATCCTCCAGCCTCTTTGTGTGTATTCCTCTTTGTTGAGGCATATGGCCAGATCCTTTTCAGTGTCAATGAAATCTGGTACGTGGATGTCATACTTCCATTGGTTATCCTCTCTTCCTTGTTCTTATCTTAGTGAAGTTCACATTCCACAGAATGCAGATATCACTCTCCCAGCATTTCTCTCAAAATCTTCCCTCAGGGTCACCATCTTAGTGGTCCCTAGATTTTGTGACTTCACTAGGTCCCAAGCACCTCTAACAGGATGGTCAAGTAATGTCCCAGCACCAGCAACTCCAAAATCTATATCCTGTGTCTGGCCTCTCTACTGCAAGCAGAACCTCTAGGGTCTATTCTGGGCCTTCTTATGAGTCCTCAAACTACCCAATTCCCACAAAAGGTTTCAGGGCCAAGTCTGTGACTTCACTTAGTATGGTCTCCTTTTCCTTGGGGTCCACCATAAATTTAATAACCCTGTTTAGGTCATTAGCAGAGATTGAAGGTTGGCCACCTCCTTGTTACAGACATTTATTCATCAGAATCTTCACTCTAGGGTTTTTATAGCTTTCTCTCCAGAATGAAGAAAATGATCTTTAGGCTGAGGCATGCATAACACATTTTACAAAGTATTCAAGGTCGGCAAATATTGGTCAGAGTTAGGAGTTCTCAAAAGCCTAAGTCAAAATCCTTTTCTTTAGTGACCTCTAAAGCTTAGAACCAACCTAGTAAGAACACAAGGATACCAGAAATACTATACAGAAGAAAAGACAGAATTACAAGTACCACCTTTCTTTCTGGGACCCAATTAGAGTGCTACAGGCACATTCTTATTTTAACACCATATGTTTATTTTTCTCCCACATATCTTGGAACTAAGGTAGCCCTAAAATTTTTTCCCCAATATTTCCCCATGGCCAATAAGGTAAGTTAAAATTTCCTTGGCATGCAACAAGACCTCCACAACTGGCCCAAACATAGCTACCTTCATCTCTTAATCACTCTCTCCTCTTTTGCCCAAACCAAACATTCAGTTAGCAATTTCTAGAACTTAGTGTGTTCTTCAGTACAGCACGTTCTTTCTCTCAAACTTGAGTGCCCATCCCTTTCTTTTCAACCTCATGAGCTCCTATTAATCCTTTAGGACACAAAACATTACCACCTCAGACAGAGCAGACCACTCTTATTCCAGTTCCAATTACATTTAGTATCTATTTATTATAGCACTTATCACATTGTAATTATCAGGTTTTTTTTTTTCCCCTTGAATAAGAACTTCTAGAAGATAGGGAAAGTAAGTCAATAATCTCTGTATATCCAAGGCCTAGCACAGTGCCTGGCATTCATTAAATGTCACTTCAAAAATTAATGAAATTTTGTAAAAGCTCTCCTTCACTATCAACATCTATCTCTGCAGCCACACGATCTTCATCTCATCCACCAGCAAGATGATGGGTTTTGTGATGTCACAAAAACATCAGCTTTGTAGAAATGACTGATTTCATAGCTTATGAAAATTAATGTGGCTAAAATAGCTTAAACCTTAAAACAGTTGAATATCTTACCTTTCAATAAGGTAGTACTTTTTCTTTCAGCAATTTTGTGGATCTTAAGGTTCCAGGGTCAGGAGATTCCAACTTCTTTCCAAACCAAAACCTTTATACTTGTTTCTTCCTCCTCTCTGTCCTGAGCCTTGATAAGCAGGGCAATAAGCTCCTTGTTTCTAATCTCTACAGGAATAAATGGTGCTTCTGCTGGTGTCCACTCCATTCCCAATCCTCTTGGGCATATGCAGGAGGACTGGAACATAACCACCAGTATCTAGATCAAAAGTGAACAAGAGGAAACCCACAAGCAAAGAAAGTACTGAATCCTCCCTTCTCTCATGGAAAGGATCATCCCACCTCCCAGAGGCAAAAATATATTATGTTCTTGCCCTTGAAAGACATAAAGAATTGTTTGATCTCAATAAACATATATTGCAATAATTTGATATTGCAACCAGTTTTACACTAAAATTTTTCTATTACACAGAATGCAGAAACCATTTTAAGATGGTAAAGGCCAGGAATCAATAATATATGAAAATCTAATAATACTTTGGTCATCCATAAAGATATATATTAATCCTATTTTTAAAAGAAACACAGACAAATGATCCTTTAAAAAAAATACCTTTGTCCCCCCCACAAATTTTTTTCCAGGCCATTACATCCTACTGCAGAGGAAGAAAATGCACTGTTACCAGTTTCTTTCCTTGTCCACTGACTACCCAGTCACTAGTGCACCTATCTCCTCATGTCTTCTCTTCTCATTCGACATGTGGTCTCAATAACTTCCAGGATTTGGAATATTACCTATATAACTTGTGAATCTCACATTTGTTTTTCCTGCTGTCTTCTATTTCCAACTATCTCCTGAACATTTTCTAAACGTAACATAAATATCTCACATTCAACATGCTCAAAAACTAAAATCTGTTCCTCTGTATTTCAGATAATAGTATCATCATCTACGGAGTCACCTGAGCTTTGAAAAATTTTAGTCATTTTCCACTCAGGAAATAATTTTGCAGGGCATTAGGACTTGTATTGAACATAAAGGAAGATAAAAAGACAAATAAGATAATGTCTTGGCTGTAAGAACCCTCCCATCTAGAAGAATCTAGCAAGTAAGAAAAGCGTAATACGACATACTATGGAAAAGGACTATGCCTGGAACCACTGTCAATGAAACTCACAGAAGAGATGAAATGAGAGCTGGACCTTGAAACACAAGTTAAGATGTGGTGAAACTTGTTCCAAGCAAAGCAAGCTGCAAATATCATGGACTCAGTGAAGCTTGAGCATTGGGAAAATTTAGGAAGAGAGGAGTAGTAAATGTGGCTAAGGAGTAGGTTTGGTTAAGAACTACTGAGGATCTTATATCCATGCTAACAAGTTAGGGTGTTATGTCTGTGCTATTCAAAAAATGTTTTAAAGTATGAGGACAACAGCATAGAGTAGAA